GAGAGAGAGAGAGAGAGAGAGAGAGAGAGAGAGAGAGAGAGAGAGAGAGAGAGAGAGAGAGAGAGAGAGAGAGAGAGAGGGAGGGAGCTTACCTGACGTACCTGGTGGTGACTGTTTGTTGGAGACAGTGGCTTGCTTCTGAGGACTCGGACCCGCGGGGCTGGTTTATGACATCAGCCTCCATAGCACCAGTTGGCTATGTCATCATCTGTAGAGGTTTGCATCAACCTTCTAGTCATTGCCAATTTGGCACATCAGTACGTCTTTGTATGCCGATACCTATCTTTCTGATGCTTACCAGCTTTTTGTTGTTAACTTTGATTTTTGAGGTGGAGAGCAGAGAGGAAGAAGCCTGGAGGTTGAACAAGGACGAAAGAGCTGTGAAGATTGTATTAATCGATTATCAATGAAAGCCTTCCGCCTCCTCTCCATTTCTTCTGTACCCTGTCTATTTTCTAGTCTACTTGTTAGTTCGTATTGGCTACAAACATTGTGAGAGTTTATGCATGGTGTGGTGTGGAAATTGTGAGCTTCTCAAGTGTGGGATCATTGCAGGGAAAAATATTAGGACCCCCCCTGCCCCCCCCCCCACCTTCCCCCCTCCTTCCCCCTGCTTTTTTGGCCGCTATATCCCAGAGAATCATCTACTGCCTCTGCGTGTATGGTTAATTAAGGGTGGGTATGTCTTCTGTGACAATATTGACGCTGGTTCTCTAAGTTTGACAGAGTGAGTTTTCTGTGGATTGTTCTTTAGTTGTTGAACTTGTTGGCTTAGAATTTTGCGTACTCTTTTGTGATGGTATAGAGTTTTGTGACGGTATTAGAGTTTTGTGACGGTATAGAGGCTGGTTTTCCGTATAACTTGAAGGTTTAAAGTTTACCGTATTCTTGTGTGACAGTACAGAGGCTGGTTTTCTGTAGAAGGTTTAGACTCTTTAGAGTTTACCTCTGTTCTTTTGTGACAGTACTTCAAGCCTCCGTTTCCCGAGGCGCATTTGTGCAGCATGGCGAAGACACCGTTAAAAAAAAAGGAACCAGTGCATCGAGTGCCTTGTTTACAGCCAAACAGATCTGTTAGACTGAACCTGAAGGACGCGGCGAGCGCCATACTGTGTCGGAGAAAAATAGCTGGGAAACGTACTGGTGGTTTGAACCACCAGTTCTTCCGAGGCACTTTTCTCCGGGGCTGGAAATGACCTGCATGCCAAAAAGAACGAACCGGGATGGGCCTCGTTTTGGCTGCTGCTGCCAGCCGTTCTGCTCCAGAGGTTGCGGCTGCATGCAAGCTGCGTATTTTGTTCTTTGGCTGGGAAAGGTACTGGTGGTTTAAGTTTGAAAGGGGGTGATATGATGATGGATATGGGCTTTAGTTGTGGGTGAAGGGTGATAAATGAAAGTTGGTAGTGCCCACGTGGTAGCGTAGATCATGCATGGATTGAATGGCAAGTGAATCGCGGAACCGGTGTCTGTGGTTCGAGGGATTACCGAGGGGAGGAGGCTCCGCCTGTGGTTTCTGTTTGTGAAATCTGACGATCCCTCCTTATACATCGTCTTTCCCCCCCCCTTTTTCTGTATGGCCTTGGCACTGGGCTGTTTGTAATAAAGTGCCAAGGCTGGTGCGCACTTCGGTTCTCTCTCGGGATGTACCGAGAATATAAGGGTGCATGTGCTTCCAAATAATTTTTGTTTTTTGTCAAGCGATCAGTACATCAGAGCCTCTTTTCCCGGAGGTGGATTTTTGCCAGGCGGCGGGCGCCAAGTCCTGCTGAACTGGTGCGGGGTGCATATTTGCCGGGTGATGCCAGCCTTTTCTGTTCAGTAGGCTGCCTCCTAATA